GCCTTCTCACGCCGGCGCGGGCGGGCGGGCGCGCACCGCCGAGTGACGCCGGAGGAGGAAAGGCAGCGCCCTTCCCCTTCCCTCGCCGCCCGGGGCCCAGCGGGAGCCCCCCAGTGCGCCTGTGCGGAGGCCTCCTTGATTATGTGTGCCCTCTCCGGGCTGCAGCGCTAGCCGCCGGGCGTTAGGTGGGGAGGGAAGAAGACCCGGAGGAGGCGGAGGAGGCGGTGGAGGGGAAGTGGGGGGGAGTCAGCAAGGACATGGCTCCTGACTCCTGTGCGGAACGTGAGTGACTGAGCGGCAAAGCCCGAGTGAGCGAGTGGCCGATTGGCGGGCGTGGGCCGGGCGCCGGGAGGGAGCGGGAGCGCGGGTGGCTGGCTGTGCGGGGGGGCCGGGGGGGGGCCGGGAAGCACTAACTGGCTTGCATGTGTTTTTTAATGGTCCCCCCAACTCCCTCTTAGATGGTCTCTAGCGACCGGCCCGTGTCTCTGGAGGACGAGGTCTCCCATAGTATGAAGGAGATGATTGGAGGCTGTTGCGTTTGCTCAGACGAGAGAGGCTGGGCCGAGAACCCACTGGTTTATTGCGACGGGCACGGCTGCAGCGTCGCGGTGCATCAAGGTAAACACCCAACCGCCCGCCGGGCCGAACCGGGCCCGCTCCCAACCGTCACCGCGTCCCCCACCGGGGCAGCAACTGCCAGCTCCCCCCGCCCCTCCCCCGCCCCGCCCCGTTCCGCGGCCCGGGATGGACTCCGCGGGGCCTCGGCGGGGCGCGGCGGGGGTGGGCTGTGCGTGTGGGAGAAAGTGCGTGTGGCCTGGACTGTCATGTGATTCGGCGCTCACTCTCTCAAGTGTCATTTGGCCGCCGCCTGCGCCCGGACCCGGGGGTCTGGAGACTTGGGGGCCGTGGTTGGAGGAGGGGGCTGCGGGCTGCGGGGCTGCGGGAGGGGGTGGAGTGCGGGGGGCGGCAGGGCTTGCCCCCCTCGGCGGGGTTACCTTGGCTGTGGGTTCAGGCACGTGTAGACCCCTCCCCCTTTGGGCTCGCTCCCTCCCGTCTGCCGCAGTGTGTCTGGGGACTTCCTGTGGCATGGAAGCAGCCTGGGAACGCCGCTCCCCGCTCCGGGGCGTGGGGGAGGGGGCCGAGGGGCTGCCCGGCCGCTTCAGATCGGGGCGGGGAGGCTCTGCGGCCGCCCCTCCGGCTTTCTGGCGGAGGCTCCGCTGCTGGGGACCGGGAGCTCGCTGCGGGAGGAGGGCGGAGGTCGCGCCGCAGTGGTGCTGCCGCAGGAGTGCCTGGCTGCACCGGCTTGGGCTGCTGGATGTGTTCCGTGGCCAATCAGGCCACTTCCTCAGCATCAGTGACTGAAGAGAAAAAGAGGAGGTGGTGCCACCAGTGATTTGGGGAGCATCGTAGTTTATTTCTGGGTGTTTCCACTCAGTGAGGTTGGTTGATACTCAAAAAAAGCCTAGGACACTAGCAAGACAGTTTTCTGGACATTGACCTTGAATGTGGTAAGGAAGTGAGGCAACCTAGATAATTTTTTGGTGGCTCTTACACTCCTCATTATTCACCAACCCGCCCCATTCCCATTTCTGAATCTGGCATTGAGTGATGAATAAGTGGGGCTAAAGTGCATTCTTTAGAATGGAATCTTAGAACTGGGAAGGGAGACTTAAAAGGTAGTGAATTAACCTGAGAATGCAGTTATTCCCATTTTCCTTTAAAGAACAAGGCTGCACAGCTTCCTTTCTTAAGGAGTAAAAAATGTGTTGAAACTAGATACTAATTTTGTGATCTTAGACAACTGGTATATAGTATTTGCATTCCAGTATTTATTGGCATTGGTGGAGGTATTTCTTATGAATTGGATGATAAATTATCAGGTTTTGATAAGTAATCTCATCTCAATATAGAAAATGTTCATTTAAGTCTTAAATTTTTTTTTAAAGTTAATTTTCTTCTCTCCAGTACTTCTGAATTGAAATATGTTTTTGGACACTCATGTAGTGTTTCTTGGCTGATAGCACATTTTGGAGATTTAAAAATTTGTGCTGATTTTATATTCTTTAAGTGCTTTCCAATATTTAAGATATTTTCAAGTTTCCTTTGAGTGCACTCATTCGAGAATGTCAATTAGATATTAGTGTTTTTAGGAAAATTTCAATTTTGAGTTAATTACATATTATAAAAACAATTTTTAAAAAACAACTAGACTTAGATATGTGATATATATTCATACTTATTGGAACATTCACATATATTTAGGAATGTTCACTTTTTATAAGTAACAGCTTTATTGAGATGTGATTTACATGCCTTACAATTCACCCACTTAAAGTGTACAGTTCACTTTTTTTGTGTGTATTCACTAAGTTTTTTATCCATTACCACAATTTTAGAACATTTTCACCACCCTAACAAGAAGCCTTGTACTCTCATTTCTACTCAACTCCCCAGGCAACCATTGTCTTTATAGATTTGCCTATTTGGGAAGCATTTCACTTTTTTTTTCCAAATGTGTTTTTATTGATTTTTAGAGAGAGGATAGGTGAGAGATAGATAAAAACATTGATGAGAGAGAAACATCATCCATGGGCTGCCTCCTGCACGTCCCCTACTGGGAATTGAGCCCAGAAAGTGAAACCCAGTCATGTGCCCTGATCTGAATCAAACTGATGACCTCTTGGTTCATGGATCGAGACACTGAACTACTGAGCCACACCGGCCGGGCTCATTTCACTTTTACATTTAATTTTCTTTTCTGCAGTATCTGTTGCTCATTTTGAAAGATGATTTGGAAATATTTTCATTAGACTTATCTAAAATGATTGCTTCTTAAACTGCAGGATATAGGAATGAATTAATTTCTGAGTTAGTCTATAAAAATCTAATCATGTGTTAAATTTTGCCTAATATTCCTATCATAAAAGAATAATTAAAATTGTAATGTTTATACTTACATGAAATAACATAATTGGCATTTTAACATTTTTATTATGTCATACGATTTCAACTAAGATAATATATGTGTTAAATATAGATATAAAATGTTTTAATTTTCTACAAAGCAGGAGGTTTACATTAATAGTTTGAGAGGTAATTAGTTTAATAGGGCTTTGAAAGGGTATTTGATTTTCCATAATTCTTTATTCTTAACATAATTTAAAACATTTTATTTCCCGACAGCTTGCTATGGCATTGTTCAAGTACCCACTGGACCATGGTTTTGCAGGAAATGTGAATCACAGGAGAGAGCAGCCAGAGTGGTAAGGACTGTTTATCAAAAACATTAAAATACTTTACTGAGTAGCTTAGGATGTTATGTACATGTTTCAGTTTGAAGGGTTGTCAGTCTGTTGTTCAAATATTGATTTTGGGCCAAACATTGACTTACAGTTTTAAAACAATTTTATAAAACCTGAAAAAGAAATTGAACAACATAAGCATATGTTGATGGATACTTTGAGCAGATAATATATAAAGTTGTATTTTAGTTTATTAGCCCTAACTACTGGTTTGAAGGTTAAATTGGCTAATCATAGTTAGAATATAATGACAGTAGGGCATAAGTTATACTGATAATTCTGTCAAGTTCTTTTTAGTGAATAAAAAACACATTAAGAATTTAGTGATTCATACTTTTTGCTATGTCTGCACATGTATAGTTTAACTTTGCTCAATATTTTCAGACATTCAATCCCTTTGGCAAAACAACAAAAGATCTTTCTCTTTTACTTAGCTGGTGGCTACCTTCTTTCTAAACACTTAAAAAAAAGTTTTTATTGATTTCAGAGAGAGGAAGAGAGAGGGAGAGAGAGATAGAAACATCAATGATGAGAGGCAATCATTGATTGGCTGCCTCTTGTACACTCTCGACTGGGGATCCAACCTGAAACCCTGGGCATGTGCCCTGACTGGGAATTGAACTATGACCATCTGGTTCATGAGTTGACGCTCAACCACCGAGCCACACCAGCAGGTCCTGAACACTTTTGTAAACCACCTGTAACAGTGAGGGAGTAATGTTTGTTTATTTATTTATTTTAAATATATTTTTTATTGCTTCCAGAGAGGAAGGAAGAGGGAGAGATAGAAACATCAATGATGAGAGAGAATCATTGATTGGCTGCCTCCTGCACGCCCCCTACTGGGGATGAAGCCTGCAACCCATGCATGTGCCCTGACTGGGAATTGAACCTGTCGTCCTGGTTCATAGGTCAATGTTCAACTGAGCCATGCTGCCTGGGTGGTATGTTTATTCTTTATGGCCAAAAGCATTTTTCTAGTTGAACTTTTGGATCTATCAGGGAGAAATAGATTTAATATTCATTAATCATATAAAAGCATTATCATTTGAAATGTTATAGTTCCTTTTGGTATTGACTAGAGAATTTGACAGAAGGTAGGGAAGAAACATTTCAACTTCTCTACATGTATAGTAAAAACAGAATCTTTTATTTTTATAGCCTGAGTAAATGGCTGAATAGCCTATCTAGGTTTGTGAAATTCAGAGCAGTATTCTGTTGATATGTTTTGTTTGAGTGTGAAAATGCACTGTAGCAGAATTATAGCTATTGATCAAATGTTACCATAATGGGAATTAACAAATGGAGGATGAAATCAATCAAAAATGTTAAGACTTGATGTGGTAGCATACATAGGTGTACTCATGTCTTTTTTGCCTCTTTGTGTAGCATGTTATGATTTGGGGTTCTTGAGTCACCAAGCAAAGGAAGTTATGCTTTATTAGTAAACACTGACAATTAAGGTGAGGCTCTTCCAGCGGTGTTACAATAGATTCAGGGCCAGAGAAAGATTAGAAAATAGGAAAGGTGGGTATCAATAGAGGGAGGATAAAAGCATTGTGAATGGGATTGATAAAATGCCAACATTATTTGTCTTAAATGCCCCCTGTTGCCTGTTTTTATTCCTTTAGCCTCTAAGGCAGCGGTTCTCAACCTGTGGGTCGCGACCCCTTTGGGGGTCGAACGACCCTTTCACGGGTTGCCTAAGACCATCGGAAAACACATGTATAATTACATACTGTTTTTGTGATTAATCACTATGCTTTAATTATGTTCAATTTGTAACAATGAAATTGGGGGTCACCACAACATGAACTGTATTAAAGGGTCGCGGCATTAGGAAGGTTGAGAACCACTGCTCTAAGGGCATGGTCAAGATATTAGGGTGAATAAAGTAGTTATCTAAAAAGTATGTTGGAGGATGCATTTTTTTAATCCTTAAATTTTGTTATTGATTTTAGAGGGGAAGGGGGAAGAGAGAGAGAGAGAGAGAGAGAGAGAGAGAGAGAGAGAGAGAGAGAGAAAGAGAGAAAGAGAGAGATCTGTTCCACCTGGGTTCAACCCCACCACTTTGGTGTATCTGGATGATGCTCTGACCAACTGAGCTACCTGACCAGGGCTGGAGGATGAATTTTATTTCAGCTTTATTTGATGAGATGATGTGGGGGCAATTAAAGGTTTTAAAGAAGAGACACAACCTCCTTTAAATTTCTGTAGTGTACAGTTGTAAAAGTTAGGTCCTTTGTAAGAAACAAAAACTTATTCCAAGCTAAAATAAGCGAAGAAAGAGCATTTTATTTTAAGGATAAAGGAGCTAAGAACCAGAACATGGAAATGTATGCATGACCTAGAAAGGGAATTGAATTAGTCTTAATCTTATTTCTGGTTTTCTCTGTGTCTGCTTTATTCTTTCTGCAGATTTTCTCTGCTGCTTTCTACAACAATCAATAGTTAACTTTTTCTGACTGTTTACTATCTGTCAGATACTTTGCTGAATGTTCTATACCAATTCTCTTCTTTAATCAACCTATCAAATCTATGAGGTTATTCATTCTCATTTTATGGATAAGGACAACATAGTTTTAAGAGCAATACATATCTAGTTGGAGTCTGGGCTGTGATTAATTTTTCAACTATCATGTTATATGTGAAAGATGGGCATACTTCAGCTCCTAATACTTTCCTAATACTTTCTACCTCCTGTATCAAGAGACTACATCTCAGTCTGAATGTCATGTTCCTTTGGGGGAAAAAATGAAAACAAAACTTTTGGCTTGGCTTGGATGAGGTACCTAGATCATCAGTTGGCCATGGCTAGACAATATGGTTGAGTGGTTCAGACACAGGGAGATCTCTGTTGTTTTGGGATAGCTCACTTCTCAGAGAAAGTGGAATTATGAGCTGGTGGTACCTTGACAGATACTGAAGAGTAAAAATCCAGAACAGTGAAACAGTATTTTTAGACAAGTAGTTTGGTAGTATATAGAATGGATTTGAAAGGGAATTTAGAAACAGAAAGACTTAGAATGCTATTAATATAAAACTGTGAGAGTAGAAAGGGAGGAAGTAAAAAGAAAGGGAGCATTTTGAAGGATGAAATGATAGAAATGGATATTGAGTATTGAGTAAAGGAGAGGGAATAATCAAAGACCTTGAAATGTCAAGGTTGATCATTCGGGAATGGTGATACCATTAATAGCAATACAGTGATAGTAATAGAGGAGGGAGAACAAAATTGAAGAGTAAGGAGAATTTTAGTTTTGGGCATGTTGGTTTTGATGCTGCTAGGATTTTTCATTGGAAATTTATGATTAAAATAATGGAGTCAGGTTAAAGTTGGAGCTACATAGAAGGAAGACAGGGAACCAAATGATATTTTTTTGCTGGAGAAAAGGAAAAGTGAAGACAGGACTATGGTGAATACTCACATGTGGAAGACTAAGAAAACATGATACCAAGGATGAATAATGAACTTCAGGAAGGGAGAATTACAGGTATAGTAGCAACACAGACAAACAATTGGTTTTTCAGGAAAGAATAGTTGATAGTGACATTGCTGCCAAGGGTGCTGGACTAAAAAAAGTTCTTGAGACAGCAGTGATAGTTCCCTGGTTTGGGCAGAATGCTCGTTATAGGGCATTGAAGAGAATAGAGATTGTAGGATTAGATTGAATTTTATTTTTCAGAAAGAAATTTTTTTTGGTTAATCCTCAGCTGAGGATATTTTTTCATTGATTTTTAGAGAGAGGGAGTGGGAGGGAGAGGGAGAGACAGAAAGAAACATCGATGTGAAAGAGACACATCGATTGCCTCCTGTACACACCCTGACCAGGGCCAGGGAACCTGCAACCGAGGTATGTGCCCTTGATCGGAATCGAACCCAGGACCTTTCAGTCTGCAGGCCGATGCTCTATCCACTGAGCCAAACCAGCTAGGGCTAGATTGAATTTTAAAAACATTAGGAAAGAGGAAAATAAAAGTAGGATTGGGGGAAAGTTTGGTTGATTTTTAAGGGAAGCTCTTTGTAGATAGGCATTCATAATTTAGTGAAAGCACTTGAATTGCTTTATTCACCGCAAGTATGAATGTTTTGTTGAGAAATTTTTTTAGACTTATACTACTTACTGATCATTATCATAGTAGTGAGAGGTTAAAATACTGATGACTATTTTTGTATTTAATGTGTATTTGTCGTTCTTAATTACCAGGCTGAAGAGAGATATTAGAAATTTTATCTACTTATATCATTTCAATGAGATACAGTGAGGATATTTTATATTTTAAATATTCTACTTCAAAAACAAGTTGAGAGTGAATCATGAAAAAAAAAAATGGCCAAAAGCCAGCTAAGAATTTGCATTAATTAGGTATTGCTATTCTAGTGCTAAATGAAAGACTATTTCTTTCCTAAAGTAATTTTTTCCTCTGCCTCTTTATTATAGTTCTTCCTTGTTTCTTACATTGTTAGGGAGAAATTGCCAGATGGAATCAAAAGTCAAGGTTTTAGGGATTGACCTAGGGTTATATTATTTTACCAGAGGCCCGGTGCATGAATTCGTGCATGGATGGGATCCTGCCAGCCTGCCCCATCAGGCCCGACAGGGCCAGGGGGAGGGGCTGCAGGTGGTTGGCCGGCCGGCCCCGCCCCTTGATCAAACTCCTGGTTGAACTCCTGGTGGAGGGGACAATTTGCATATTAGCCTTTTATTATATAGGATTTTAAAATTTTTGCTTAATGAAGCTATATAATGCAAGCAAATCACTATAAATCTATAAAACCATAAAATTATATACTTAACTATATTAATTATATTTAATTCCAGTAAAATTATATTGATATACATTTAATTATCACAAATAATTCTGAGCAATATAGGACATAAAATAAATACATATGTATTCCCCATCCAGAATGAACAGATGTTACTTATTCATATTTGCTTCAAACCTTCCCTTCTACT